TCGGTGTGGTTTGGTCAAAAACCAAATCGCACCACAATAGATATCGTATTGTAAAATAATTCTCGAATCATCAATTTTAGTTTTGAGGAATTCAGTTTGTATTGTAGATAGGGGTGAGCATCGGTGTGGTTTGGTCAAAAACCAAATCGCACCACAATAGAAGAAATAACCGAACCAAGCCAAAAATTTTGATTCGGTTCAGTGCGATTATTGTGTTAACCGAATTAAAAAAAGAAATAAAGATAACCACAAATTGAGTGAAAATTAGGGCAACAAAAAATATAAATGAAAATTTTTACTTTTAAATTGATGTAAATTTATGTGATGTTGTGTCCAAATTTTTGCTCACAAAGTGTAAAATTAAAGTGTAAATTTTACTCAGTTTATGATATTCGGTGCGGTTCGGTTAAAACCGCACCCTTCGAGCAGAAAATCAAACCGCACTGAGATATTTGCACTTTTCCAAAACCTAAACCGTACCGTTAACCGAACTCTTCAAAAACTGCACCGAAGAGCTCAGTTCGGTTCAATTTTTTGGTTTTGGCTCGATTTTGCTCACCCTTACTTGTAGAGATTACCAACTTCTATTCTAGAAGCATCAATCTGTCATTGTGGCAAACATTTGAGAATATCTTGAGGTGTTTGAGATGTTCCTTCATATTTCTTTGAGGCAATTATTGGTGTGTATACTAAAAGCTAGGATTTTTGTTAACAATATTTTTGTTTAAATAAGAATCATGTTTAACTAAACAATTCTACATTTTGTTGTTTACCATTTAGATTGATATGGTTCATCAAAGATGAACAGAAGATCATTATATCAGTTACTTGTAATACATAAAGTTTGGTTCACAACCTAGATGGAGTTAAACAACCAATCACAAACTGTAATTTGGATATGTTAATATTGACTAATAAATTACACTAGTGCACTACGAGTGTATTGGACTGAACGACTGTTGCGTTTGCCATATGGACCGAAGGGTATTTTTCAACCCTCCAAAATTTACCAATTTTTCTTCAAACACCCTTCCTAGGAGGCTGAGAGTACATTCCTGAATTCTGGTACTGATATCCTCTTTCGTTAATGTTACGTTGAATTCGTCTTTTTTTCGAGAGCTTAAATTCTGCAATCTTCTTGTCAATTCATTCTCCATATCGGACTCGCACAAAATCACCACTTCAAAACTAAATCAAACTCTCACCTTCCACTAACAAGTTGAAACGATAATAATGGCAACTGAACAAACAAGAAAACAAAGCAAACTGATACGACCTTGCTTCAAAGTTGTATTAGTTTGACTCGAATAGCTTCAAAACGAATCGATTATGAATTTGCAGAGCAAAAACGATGAATTATTATTCCCTTCTGATGAGCAAATAACAACTATATGTAAAGTCCTACCAACAAGGAAACAAGAAAAAAATATAAAATATGGAAATAAAGATAATATAGAATCTCTTGCAAATATTTAGTTTCGATAATCCTTAAGCCAAAAGGATTCCTTCCGATCTCGCTTGGGCCTGTTCTTAGCGGATTCCTCCTTATTAGTCTTTCGGTCCAACCCCGACAACCCAGTCGTATCATTCCCACCTTCTTCGAAAATCACCTTGTCCTAAAGGTGAAACGTTGGAAACATCACCGCAAGGTCTCGTGCAACTTCCCAGGTGGCTTCCGCTGGAGTCAAACCTTCCCACTGTACTAATACCATGACTTCAGGTTTGTGGTTCTTCACAACACTCTTAGTATCTAGAACCTTAATGGGAGCAGCGGCAGGTCGCCCTTCTATTTCCCCTCTAGGTAAATTTGATATAGCAAGATCCTCGTCGCCCCGAAAAGCTTCAATACTGAAACGTGAAACACGGGATGAATGTGAGACCCTTCAGGAAAAGCCAAACGATAGCCACAGGTCCTATTCTCTCTTCAATAGGGAACGGCCCATAATATTTTTTTGCTAATTTGTTAAAGCTTCGACGCTCCACAAACATTTGGCGATATGGTTGGAGCTTGACAAGAACTTTATCGCCAACCTAAAATTCCACTTCTCGGCGATGAGAGTTAGCTTTTTGCTGTATTCGATTTCGCGCTTTGGCCAAATTCACTTTCAGCTCTCTAAGCAACTTATCTCTATAAAGCAGTTGCTCATCTAATGATATATTTCTTGAGGCTCTAGCTCGATATGCTAACATTAAAAAAGGAGGTATGCCATATAGAGCTTGACACGACGACATAAGGAGCCCGCTATGAAAGCTGATGTTATATCTATATTCAACCCAACATAAGAACCTTCCCCACTGCTTAGGACGATCAGCGACAAAAGCTCGTAAATATTGCTCAAGCCCATGATTCACTACCTCAGTTTGTCCATCCGTTTGAGGATGGTAGGAGCTGCTGTGCAATAGTTGAGTTCCATTGAGTGCAAATAACTCATTCCAAAACTCACTGAGAAAGATAGGATCCCTATCAGAGACGATAGTTTTTGGGAACCCGTGCAATTTGACCACTACCTCAATGAACAACTCTGCCACTTTTGGGGCTGTAAAATTAGCAGTCAATGCTGCAAAATGAGCATATTTTGTTAGGCGATCCACCCCAACAAACACTACCGATTTTTCCTCACAATTCGGTAATCCCGTTACAAAATCCATCGTGAGATTCTCCCAGACATTTTCAGGAATTTTCAAGGGTTGTATTAACCCAGCTGGTGATTGGTTAGTGGTTTTAATCTGTTGACAGACCACACACTCAGCCACAAATTTTTCCACATCCTTTCGAAGGCCTGGCCAATAGCAATTACTGGACACCCGCATGAGCGTCCTTTTAACGCCCCCATGCCCAACCATTGGAGTCGAATGACACTTATTTAAAATTCGATGGCGAAGGCTCGATTCGGGACTGATGTATAATCGTCCTTTATAAAATATTACTCCATCACGTACCTCGAATGATGAACTCAAGTCTCTTCTTTTTAATTTTTCGTGCAGCCCGACCATATCAAGTGACTCATGGTTTACCAACCTTAATTCCTCCAGAAAAGAGGTAATTGGAAAAGCTGTCGACAAAAGACATAAGGCGGACTCATCCTCGGGTGCATCATCTCGCCGTGATAGAGCATCAGCAACACGATTTGCACTCCCTAATTTATACTCAATAGAAAAATCAAATCCCATCAATTTTTGCACATGATTTTGTTGTTGTGGAGTGCGAATCCTCTTGTGTAGTAGTTTCTTGATACTCTTTTGATCGATCCTGATAAAAAAGGGTCTACCGAGAAGATATTGTCGCCATTTTTGGACAGCTTCTGTAATGGCGTAAAGCTCCTTATTATAAGTAGATGAGCTGAGTAACCGTTGTCCGATTTTTTTACTAAAGAAGGCTATTGGCCTTCCCTCCTGCATAAGAACCGCGCCTACACCCGTGCCTCTTGCATCAGATTCTATCTTAAATGGGAGTTGGAAATCCGGTAGACGTAACACTGGCGCTCTAGTTAAAGCCGACTTTAACGCCTCAAAAGCCTCAAAGGTTGCATCGGTCCAATGAAATCCCTCTTTGTGAAGCAAATCCGTTAGCGATGCGGCAATCTTGGCATATCCTTTTACGAATCTACGATAATATCCTGTGAGACCAAGAAATCCTCGTAACTGCTTAATCGTCTTTGGAGTTTTCCAGGAAGTCATTGCTGCAATTTTTCGTGGATCAGGATGCTGTCCCTTCGAGTCAACAACATGTCCCAAATACTCAATTTCTTGTCGACAAAAGGAGCTCTTCGAGAACTTCACTAAAAAATTATTTTGTGCCAAACACTCCAAAATACCTCTTAAGTGGGAAACGTGCAATTCTTGTGTCTCACTATAAATCAAAACATCATAAAAAAATACTACCACATATTTACGCAAGAATGAAGCCAAGGTGGAATTTATTAAGGCTTGAAATGTCGAAGGAGCGTTGGTTAGACCAAACGACATCACAAGAAATTCATAATGCCCCTCGTGAGTTCCGAAAGCAGTTTTTGGAATGTCATCCTCATGAATCCGAATTTGGTGGTACCCAACTCGTAAATCAAGTTTTGAAAAATATTTTGCCTTCCCCAGCTCATCAAATAATTCATCAATAGTAGGGATGGAAAATTTGTCTCGTACCGTGATGACATTCAGAGCACGATAGTCTACACAAAATCGGTATGTTCCATCCTTCTTGCGAACAAGTAGCACTAGAGAAGAAAATGGACTCTGACTCGGCTGAATAATTTTTTGTTCTAGCATTTCTTTAACAAGTCGTTCAATCTCCGCCTTTTGGAAGTGAGAATACCGATATGGTCGTACGTTTGCCGGCTTTCTCTGGGGAAATAAATGAATTTTGTGGTCAAATTTTCTCCTTGGGGGTAGCCCTCGAGGTTTGGACAATACAGTGCGAAATTCCCATAGCAATGAAGAGATAGAGTCGGGATTCCCTTGTAGCGCCACCTTTGATAACTCATCCCAAATAGTTGATTCCACCTCTAATGCCAGCATGACAGCTCATACATCTCTTGAACCTCTCCACGTTCGACCATTGCTTGCAATTGATTGAAAGAAATCTTTCTCGATGTCAACTCCTTGTCGCCCATAAGTTTGACTCTATTTCCAGCCCACTTAAACTCCATTGACATGTGGTTATAGTCATGAACCACTTGCCCTAACTTTTGCAACCAAGGAACTCCCAATACAATTTCCGGCCCATGGATTGGCAAAATAAAGAGATCAATAATAAATTCGGCCCCTTGCAGCTCAAGCTTGACCCGTGGACAAAAGCTCCTACACGACATTGAGTCCCCATTGCCAATGTAAACCCTAAATGGGCTCACCAACTCCAACGGAAGTTGTAGCCTTTCAGCCACGTCCGGGTGCATGAAGTTATGGGTTCTCCCACTGTCGATTAATACGTGAACCTGTGTATTACTAGTTTGACCCCACATCCTAAGCGAACGAGGATTGCCTGCTCCCGCCAAAGTTTGCAAACTTTATACATCTCCAGTTATGACCACGCCTTCCCCATCACTCTCGAGGTTTTCTTCTTCCTCGTCGGGATATTCTATCATGAGCAAGAATTGCATAGTACACTTATGACTGGTAGTCCACTTTTGATCGCAATTAAAACAGTCACCTCGAGCACGCTTATCGCGCATCTCGACCGAAGTAAGTCGTTTGAATTTAGCACCTGCTCGTTCTGCCTTTTGTAGTTGACTTGCTAGACCCTGACTTATGCTTTTCTCTCCCCCCACATTAGCACCATTAACTTGTCCATTGGAATTTCGGCCCGGCCATCTCGTCGTGGATCGTTGCTCTAAATAGCGTGCTGTTTGTCGTGACTTGAACAACCTGAAAAGACTAATAGCCTCATCGAAGGTAGTCGGTCGAGCAACCAACAAATCTTGTTGAATTTCATTCTTCAAACCTGCAATGAAAATAGAGATCAAAATATGCTCAGTTACTTCTTCCACCTTGTTCATCAGAGTTTCAAATTCGGCCTGATAATCTTCAACATTACCCTTTTCCATTAATTTAGCTAATTTTCCTGTAGGGACGGTCTGAATCGCATTTTAATTTGAATCAAGAACTCCTTCCATGTGGTCAGCCGTTTATTAACCTTCATCCATTGATACCAATATGATGCTTTTCCTTCCATATTGAAGGCTACAATTCGTAGCCGTTGCTCGTCAGGAGTCTCGTGAAAGTCAAAATACTCCTGCACCCTAAACGTCCAACCATACGGATCATTGCCATCAAAACGGGGCAACTCTAATTTCATGGTGTGGTTCCTAAGCGTGGCCCCATGGTGACCTTTTGTTGCGTGGCCAGGTCCTGTTTTTATAAGAGGTTTTTCCCCCGTCTTCTGGACGATTAATTCGCTCACAATCCCTTTGAGTTCGTCGATTGATTCCACAAACCCCTGATACTTTTGCATATGGGTAATTGTCTGCCTGTCAAATTGTTCTTGCATTTGTGATATGGCAATCTCCCATTCTTGAGCCCCTTCTGCCTTTTTAAGTTGTTCGGACATGTTGTTGCAGTCAAAGAGAGCTTCTCTCAATGAAAGCACCAATGATATGACCTTGCTTTAAAGTTGTATCAGTTTGACTCGAATTGCTTCGAAACGAATCGATTATGAATTTGCAGAGCAAAAACGATGAATTATTATTCTCTTCTGAATAACAAAGAACAACTATATGTAAAGTCCTACCAACAAGGAAACAAGAAAAAAATATAAAATATGGAAATAAAGATAATATAGAATCTCTTGCAAATATTTAGTTTCGATAATCCTTAAGCCAAAAGGATTCATTCCGATCTCGCTTGGACTGTTTTTAGCGGATTTCTCCTTATTAGTCTTTCGGCCCAACCCCGACAACCCAGTCGTATCACAGACAAACAGAGAAAAAGGAAAAGAGCCAGTGAAAGAAAAAAACCACAAAAGATACTAGAAAACACAGACAAGACGAAAATAGCTTGGACAAAACCCGTGTAGAAAAGGGCACTAAACCCAATGAAACTTCCAGAGGAGAGTGCACTAACACAAGATCAAGAAAGCTCCCTAAATTTCCCAAAAACAATGTAGGGGTTACCCGAGAACCGGAGAACCGGACCGAACCAAACCGAAAATAACAGGTTCGATTCGGTTATTTAAAAAAAACTATTTTTTCGGTTTTCGGTTATTTTTTGCATGTTTCGGTTCCCGTTCTCGGTTCCTTTCAAAGTGTATGCGTATTACCCAAAGAACCGGTTATATATGTGAAAATATGCATGTTTTATAAGTTTATATGTATGAATTGGTTCTGGTACTTGTACTTAATATTCTGTCATTCATTCTTGCATTCAGTTCTCAGTATTTCATGATATTTTTAGTCTGTGAGTTGTATTTTTTTAACCGATTCTTAACTCAAAACCGATTATTGACAGTTATTTTTTACTATTCAGTTACCCGAATAACCAGAAAAAACTGAACCATTATTAATTGGTTTGGTTCTTTTTCGGTTCCTGTAATTTTTTATGTATTAACCGAACTGGTTTTTTTGGTTCAATTTTGGTTCCAGTTCTTTAAAAAATGATAAGAACCTGGTCCCAAAAGGAACTTTCACCCTAGAAAGAGAATTCTTTCCCATTTTAGGAACTCTTCAAAAAACATGAGTTTGAGAATTACAAATATGGCTATTTTCTTGATTTAATTTATTTCCTAATGTGGAAATGGATATAAAAGTAGACAAATATCTTTGCTATACGTGTTCCCTATATATGTTACATAATTTGATTTTTTTTGGTATAGATTTTGGTTAGTGAAACAATTATGGTAAGAGTGAACTCAATGGATTGTAGTAACCCTAATCCTAAATTCTATAATATAAATATATATATATATATAAGTTATCAATCCTCTTACGAATCCTTGCAATACAAGAGGATTAATTGAACTTAAGATCGTGTTTGGTGGAGATTGTCTTGAAAAGGTAATTCACATCCCAATTCATTGAAGCTTCATATTTTGATTACTCCCTATATTATTTGATTAGTCTCAATGTATAATTTTCGTTTTACAATTATTTGTATCAGTGTTCTATGTTGATGTTTATAAATTTGGACTACCATTATGTTCTGAGAATGTTATGAAATATTGAAATCCAATTTAATAACATAATTTTTATATAATTTATATTCTTTCTTAATTGAAAAGCAATTATGAGTTTATAGTAATGCATATTCATCTTGATGACATAATTTTTATTTTATTTATATTCTTTCTTAATTGAAAAGCAATTATAAATTTATATAGGAAGTATGATGCGGACTATCAGATAGTGACATTTTAAGAACTTATTTATTAAAAGTTGAGATTTTTTAAAATTTTCATATTTTAGAAGAATTTTGTGAAATCTGAAAGTAGGAATTAAAGTGAGATTTTGTATAACTTTTTTTTTTATTTTTTTTGATTTACAAATCCCACAAAATCTTAGAAAAGTCTTTAACAAATCCTAGTATCAAAAAAATTAAATATATGAAGATTTTATAAGACTTTTTTAAAATCTGAATACCTCAAAACTTTTAAAATTTTAAGCAAATCTAAATCGAATACATTAGGATTTCTAAAGTGTTAAAAAATTTTCAGAAATCCTAATTAAATACACCTTCCATCGTGTATTACTATTTAATTTATTATTTAGTTGATTTAATAAATTTTCATTATTATTTTATAGATTTTTATCTATTTATTATTTTTTTTATTCAGCATCACCCATAGTCAGATGAGAGTTGAGAGACTTCACCAAAAACAAATCTGTGTCCTAATTCTTATTTTGTCAGAAATTCATGAAAATCAGAAAGCTGTGATTGTAAAACCAATTGAATCATTCTCCTCTCCCTGCCCAAATCAAGAAACCCTAAATCCCCTATTTTTATTTCCTAATTAATGATTGGGGGAAAATTGCCAAAGTGTAAATGCATGTCGCGGCGGATCTTAACTGGTTCCTGCAATTGGCGGCGTTGGCACTCGCAGGGGTTTTTGGATTGCTGTACCTGGTTCGAAGCGCTGCGTCTAGTTATTTCATGGAGGAGTCCAGCTTCGATTCTTCGGCGGCCGATTATTCATCACTGGACAGCGAGAAAAGAGAGGGCATGGCGGTGGCCGGAGGAGGTGCCGCCGAGAGGTTTGACGCCTGCGCCGTTTGTGGACTCCCCCGCACGAAAGTTTGTTCCCGTTGCAAGATGATTAGATACTGGTATGTCTGTTAATTTGGCAATTTTTTTTTTGAACTTGGGATATGATGAGTACCGGTGTGTGTCTGTATATCTGCTTGTGATTTTTTTT